TAAACAACTGATGAAGCATTCAAAAATTAATAAATAAAAGAAACAAATAAAATAAAATAAATAAAGCAAATAAAAAAAACAAAATAAATAAAATAAAATAAGTAAAATAAATAAAATAGAAAAAATTAATAAACCAAGATGAAATAAAATAAAATAAATAAAATAAAATAAAATAAAATAAATAAAATAAAATAAAATAAAATAAATAAAATAAAACAAAATAAATAAATATAGCTAACGAGCAGTCACTTCCTTTATGGCGTCTTCTACATACACAAAATAAATAAAATAAATAAAATAAATAAAATAAATAAAATAAATAAAATAAATAAAATAAATAAAATAAAATAAATAAAGCGAATAAAATAAATAAACCAAAACAACTATATATATGCAGGAACAAACTAAAAATAAATAAAACAAAACAAATAAATAAATAAATAAATAAATAAACAAATGAACAAATAAACAGACAAACAAACAAATAAATAAGCAAACAAAAACAAACAAACAAACAAACAAAAAAATAAACAAACAAATAAATAAATAAATAAACAAAAAAATAAATAAACAAACAAACAAAAAAATAAATAAATAAATAAATAAATAAACAAACCCGCAATCTATTCCTTTATATCCTTTATTACAAAAAACCAAATAAACAAAATAAACAAAATAAACAAAAAAACAAACAAAAAAAAAATAAATAAAATAAATAAATAAAATAAATAAAATAAATAAATAAAACAAATAAATAAAATAAATAAAAAGCTAAATAAACAAACAAACAAACAAAAAAATAAATAAATAAATAAATAAAAATAAATAAACAAACCCGCAATCTATTCCTTTATATCCTTTATTACAAAAAACCAAATAAACAAAATAAACAAACAAACAAATAAATAAATAAATAAACAAACAAAAAAATAAAATAAATAAATAAAAAGACAAATAAACAAACAAACAAAAAAATAAATAAATAAATAAATAAAAATAAATAAACAAACCCGCAATCTATTCCTTTATATCCTTTATTACAAAAAACCAAATAAACAAAATAAGCAAAGTAAACAAACAAACAAACAAATAAATAAATAAATAAACAAACAAACAAAAAAACAAAATAAATAAATAAAAAGCTAAATAAAAAAAAAATAAAAAATAAACAAACCCGCAATCTATTCCTTTATATCCTTTATTACAAACACAAACCCCACCAACACAAACACCTCTATCACTGCAGCTATTTAAACATTTTCTGCTGCTGCAGTCTGC